TGTGTGTTTTGCTTAAATACTTAAACATAATTACAGTAGTTATTTTAACACTCTTGTTTGCTAGTTTCATCATCACTGTCATTTCTGATTATGCAGCTTTTAAATTTTTCTTTACATTTTTAAATTTATTTTTGAGAGACAGAGTGAAAGCGTGAGCGGGATAGAGGCAGAGAGAGAAGGAGATACAGAATCCGAAGCAGGCTCCAGGCTCTGAGCAAGCGTTCAGCACAGAGCCTGACATGTGGCTCAAACCCACTAACTGTGGGATCATGGCCTGAGCCAATGTCGGACGCTTAACTGACTGAGCCACCCAGGCACCCCTGATTATGCAGTTTTTAGTACTTTTTCTTTTATGGATCACATTTTTCTGCTTTATGGCATACTGAGTAATTTTATTTTAATTACTGGTCATCATGTGGTTTGCACTGTTGAGTGTCTTTATTTTTATGGTCTTCCTTTAATGATGGTTAGGCTTTATTTTAACAGGTGGTTAGTTTACTTTCAAATCTATTGGGTATCTTTGAGTGTCCCCCACCTTTTTTTTTTTAAATTTAAATTCAAGTTAGTTAGCATACAGTGTTGTCATGACTTCAGGCATAGAAGCCAGTGATTCATCACTTACATATGAGGCCCTTTTGAAAACTGGTGCATCTAGATTAGAACTCTGAATCTCCAATATTCAAATAGTAATTCTGAATTTTTTCCTCTTGGTTTTCAGCTACTTTTTCTATTTCTCTTTATACTTTGTAATTTTTAATCAAAAGACAAATATTTTGATAATATTTTTTATCAAAAGACAAATATTAAAAATGAGAAAGTTTTAGAATTTGAGTCTGAATACTGTCCTTTTCTTCAGAGAAGATTTGTAGTTGCTTCTGACAGGAAGTTCACCTCAGTCTAATCTGGGGTTGAACTGGTTCAAAGATGGATTTCAGTGTACATGAAGGCTAATCCAATATCACTTTGCCTATAAGAAGTAATCTTTTGGGAGCACTAACTAAATGCTTAGCATGTTTACTAGAGTTTCTCCTCCTTTTTTTTTTTTTTTTTTTTTTTTTTTTATTTCTAGGAGAGAGAGAGAGAGACAGGCAGCGTGAGCAGGGAAGGGTCTGAGAGGGAGGGAGTCACAGACTGAAACAGGCTCCAGGCTCTGAGCTGGCAGTCAGCACAGAGCCTGATGCGGGGCTCGAACCCACGAACCGCGAGATCATGACCTAAGCAAAAGTCGGACGCTTAACCGACTAAGCCACCCAGGCGCCCCGAGTTTCTCCTCCTTGATGGGACTTGAAGTACAAGTTTTGTCCTTCTAATATCAGTAAACTACCTAAAGTTTTGCTCTACTTCTTAGTATCTGTTATAGGCTGAATTGTGTCCTTCCCAAATTCCTATGTCCTAATCTGCAGTCGCTTAGAATGTGACTGTGTTTGGAGATGAGATCTTTAAAAAGTTAATTAGATTAAAATAGGGTCATTATGGTGGACCCTAATTCAATGTGACTAGTGTCCTTTAAAAAGAGGAGCCTAGGACACAGACATGCACAGAAGGCAGACCATGTGAAGATAACAAGGAAAAGATGGACATCTACAAGTGAAACAGACGGGCCTCAGAGGAAACCAATACTGTCCATACTTTGATCCTAGACTTCTAGCATCCAGAATTGTGAGAAAATAAGTTAGGGTTGTTTAAGCCACCCAGTCTCAGGTACTTTGTTATGGCAACCCTAGCAGACTGATATAGGATCCTACCTGCAACTTTCTGCTTACCTTCTTCTGTTCTTAGCTCCATGTTATTTATGAATTAATGCCTGGAGGTTAATTACAGAGTTGAATGTTGGGCTCATCTTAATACATTTCCATTCCCTATGAAATTCTCAAGGCTTAGCTGTCTTGTTGAATTCCAAGTTTTTGTCTTCAGTCTTGCAGGGCTACAGAAAGTTCTGCTCAGCTTCTCACCCTCATGGCCAACTTTTTCTACACAATTCTCAGATGCTAGTCCCTTGTAAATCAGCAAATGTGTTCAGAGGAAAGTGGAACAGAATGTTGAGTTTATCTCAGTACCTCTTGACTCTTGGAGAGTCTTGCCTCTCAAGTTCTGGCTGCGTCAAGAGTTTCTAATGCTTTCAATCATGTTGTTTCTATTTTATCCAACTTTTCTAGTTTTGTTTTTTTCTTTTTTGTAGGGAAGTTTGGTTTGATACAAGCATGTCTATCAAAGCTGTTAGTGGAATTATTTTTATATTAATTTTGATCCTAGGCATTTCATTAAATTAAATTATGTTGCTTTTAACAGCTTTTTGATTGGATCTTGTTTGTGTCAGGATCCAAATTTTTTTTAATGTTTTATTTATTTCTGAGAGAGAGAGACAGCGTGAACAGAGGAGAGTCAGAGAGAGAGGGAGACACAGAATCTGAAGCAGGCTCCAGGCTCTGAGCTGGCTGTCAGCACAGAGCCTGACGCAGGACTCAAACCCACGAACCATGAGATCATGACCTGAGCCGAAGTTGGATGCTTAACCGACTGAACCACCCAGACACCCCAAATTTAATATTAATTAGGAAAACCTAATTCCCAGTGCAATTGGATTTAAAGGTGGGAATTTGGGGAGGTGGTTATGTCATGAGGGTGAGCTTTTATGGATGGGATTATTGCCCTAATATAAAGAGACTCCAACGAGCACCTTCACCTCTTCTGCCATATGAAGACACTGAAAAAATGGCTGTCTGCGAACCTGGAAGTGGACTCTCTACTGGCACCTTGATCTTGGACTTCCTAGCCTCCAGAGCTGCAACTGTGAGGGATAAATCCCTGTTGTTTATTAGCTACCCAGTGTGTGCTTGTTCTGTTATATGAGCCTGAACTAAGACAATTAAGTATTATATCTGTCTTTAAGCATTGAATATTGTTGTGAAGTATGAGGCCAGTCAATTTTTTTTCACCTTTGCATTAAGTACAAGAAAGAATGTGATACTCTATCAAAGCATAAGATACAACGATTTTAATAAAATTGAACTTTATGTCTCTTTCACATATCAGTCTGGCTGGTCTACTTAATCAGACAACTGCTGCATAAAGTCATCCAAGGAGCAACTTCTTCTGTCTTGTTGTTCCACCATCCCCTTAGTGCATTGTTTCCACAAGATTGGAGGTGGGACCCTGGCACATCTACAGTCTAGCTTGCAAAAGAGAAAAAGAGCCAAAATTCAGAGAAAGCAGCTTTTCTTTAAATTGTAGATGACTTCGCACACCTCATTATAGTGCATATCCAGTTGTCCAGAACATATTCATGTGTCTACCCTAAGTAATTACAAAGATAGCAAGGAAATGTATTGTCTACTGGGTGGCCAGAAATAAGAGGAAATTTAGAGGAAACAAGGAGTCTATCTCAGACTTGTTGGTGACTTACTCATTTTGTCTGATGCCCAGGGTACTTTGGTTTTGGTTTTGTTTTTTTTTTTTTTTCATCTTTGAAGTCCAAAACTATCACTAGAGTATGTTTTAGTGTTGTGATCTTATTGAATTAGCTTTTTTTTATGAACTGCTATATCAAGTTATAGGTTTAAGTCTCAGGTTTTCAAAATTACATTTTGTTTTTTTTTTTTTTTCATCTTTGAAGTCCAAAACTATCACTAGAGTATGTTTTAGTGTTGTGATCTTATTGAATTAGCTTTTTTTTATGAACTGCTATATCAAGTTATAGGTTTAAGTCTCAGGTTTTCAAAATTACATCTTTAAATTATTTTTTGTGCTTTTTTTTTTTTTTGTTATCATTGTAGTCTACACTTCATATCTTTCATTTTGCTTTCTTTTCTTAATCCTGTTCTGTTCCTTGGTGTGATTTCAGTGATGGCCAGTTGTGCTGCTCAATGTGGCCTTGATTTCTTGAATGGATTTATTTTTTTCTTCTGTTTATTTCTTATGTCTGCCAGCTCATGTTTCATCTCCTCCAGTTCTCTGCTTTGAGCTCTTTGATTCATTAGGTGTCTTTATTCATGACCATATATTTGGTCATGATTTTTATCTGAGTAGTGGCCATATTTTTCTAGTGTGTATTCATCACCTGCCACTTGTTTCTCCCACATTTTTCTTCCTTTTCCTGAAAGTAACTTTGCATAGATACTTGGCTGGTTCTTTTTTGCTTATTACTTTTGTGAATGAGGTGAATTCTTCCAGTCACTTGTGGGTGGTTCCTTCAGGGGAGAGACTGCAGCAGTGTTCCAGGCAAGCAGTAACTTTCTTTGGTTCACAGCAAAGCTCTTTATGACTCAGTGGTGTGTGTGTGTGTGTGTGTGTGTGTGTGTGTGTGTGTGAATTCTTTTTACCTTTCTTTCTGCCTAGTTCAAAGAAATCAATAGTTTCTGGATTTTTCATAATTCAAGATCTATTGCCTTAACTCTTCCACAAGGACACATTGATTCTCTCAAAACTGTAGGTTTCCTTGTTTAGTCCCACCTCCTTTACCTATTCTGTGGGGTTCTATGGGGTTCAGTGAAGCTCCCGCTAAAGGGCCATGCCATCCTGTTCCCATTGTTTCAAGAAACACATGTGGTTCTGCCACATATTTTGAATAACTGTGCTCTGTCTGATTTGTTTGAGATTTTTAGCCACATATGTCTTTTTAGGCATTTCCTGGCATCAGGTAGCTCTTCCACAGATATTATAGTACAGGGTTACAGGTGTCTCCTAGCTTTATCAAAGATCATTTTACTCTCTTTTCATTGTCACTGTGATTTTATTTCTTAGTGAAAACTAGGTAGAGGTATCTTTTGTCTGGAATTTTATAAGCAGGTACTATGCATAGTCCATTTACAGAAATCCATCATTATTTTTTAGTTAATTTCTTTAAGTGGTATATTAACAAAATTTCAAGAATTCCAATATGTTTTTCAAAAAAGTTACACAGGAGTGCCTGGTTAGCTCAGTCAGTAGAGCATGTGACTTGGTCTCCAGGTTGTAAGTCAAGCCCTACATTGGGTGTATGTTAGTTTAAAAAAAAAGTCTTAATTCTTACCTGGCAAGGGCAATACCATGATCATGAAGGTGATTTTCCAAGGGTGAGGTTTATCCATTGCACTCCGGATGTGCTAACCCTTGCAGTTTCACCAAATGTGGGAAACTCCACTGCATAATTTGTGGTAGTGGGGGTCTGTGTCCATGCTTTCCCTTGGTTTTCTTTTTACGAAAGTGTCTCTTGGGGCACTGAGGTGGCTCAGCTGGTTGAGCTTCTGACTTTGGCTCAGGTCATCATCTCACAGTTCATGAATTCAGTTCCAGCATAGGGCTCCATACTGACAGCTCAGAGCCTGGAACTTGCTTCTGTTTCTGTGTCTCCATCTCTCTCTGCCCCTCCCCTGTTCCTGCTCTGTCTCTGTCTCTCTCTCTCTCTCTCTCTCTCTCCCTCCCTCTCAAAAGTAAATAAACATTAAAAAAAATCTTTAAAAAATGTTATACTAACCTAAATGCCTCCATTAGCATATGAGTGTTTCTATTTTCCTATTCTTTTTAAAAAGTATTTATGTATATATGTATGTTTGAAGGAGGGAGAGAGAGAGAGAGTGAGGGGAAATATGAGCAGGGGAGGGACAGAAAGAGAGGGAGAGAGAGAATCCCAAGCAGGCTCTATGCTGTCAGTGTGAAGCCCAGCATGAGGTTTGATCCTATGAACTGTGAGATCAAGACCTGAGCCAAAATCAAGAGTCAAATATTCAACTGACTGAGCCACCCAGGCACCCTTTGTATTCTTATGTAGTTAAAACTTTGATATTCTTCTTAAGTTTTACTTTTAATTATTAGGTGGCAAATAATTTTATCTTTTTTTTTAATAATTTTCTCTTATTGTCTATTAGTGATTTCTGTTTTCTTCTCATGACTCTGTCAACTTTCTACGGATTAATATATGCTTTTTCTTAAAGATATGCATATATTTTTTTTTAGTCATTTGCCTGTTTTAGTTTTATTTCTAATGTGATCTTTTACCAAATAAAATATATTTTTGTAGCAAGTTTAATATTTTCCTATATGCCTTAGGTGACATTTTCTTTACTACTCTGAGATTATATATTCATAAATATATTTCTTTAGTGCTATAGATTTTGTTTTTTAATTTAAATCTCTAATAATTCTAGAGTTTGTTTTAAATATGATCAAAAGTAGTAATCTAGCTTATTTTCTCCACAATTGTTAGTCATGCTCTCCTTCACTATTTAGAGATTATTTTTCCCACTGATATAAGATACCAATATTTACACATTAATCATAGTTCTAAACTCTAAATTTTGGGGTGCCTGGGATCAATAGGTTAAGCATCTGACTCTTGTTTTCAGCTTAAGTCATGATTTCACAGTTTGTGATTTTAAGCCACACATTGGGCTTTGCACTGATAGTGTGTAGCCTGCTTGGGATTCTCTGTCTGCCTTTCTCTTTGCCCCTACCCTGCTCATGATCAATCTCTCTCTCTCTCTCTCAAAAATACATAAATAAACATTAAAAAATGAATAAATAAAATAAACTCTAAATTTTATTCCATTGGTTGCTTGTTTTATGGCAGTACTATAATATTTCAATTATCATTTTACATACTAATATATTTTATTTTCTAGCAGGTCAAAAATTCTATCATTACTATAATTTTCAAAATCTCTTACTTAGGTTCATGTATTATTCTTCCAGATGAACTTTGGAATCATTTGTTGAGTTTCCAAAAATATATCCTCAAACCCACTGCGATTGCACTCAATTTATTTATTTATTGGGAAGAATTGACATCTTGATAATATTAAGTCTTCTTAGTTGGTAGCATGATATAATTCTTCATTTAGACATGTTTTCTTTATATCCTTCAACAACAATATTGTGGTTTTCTTCGCAGAGAGTCTTCACATTTCTTGTGAGTTTAACTCTTAGGTGTTCTATATTGTTTTGCTATTAAGAATCTAATTTATTTTCTAATATGTAATTGCTGTAATATTGGAAAATATTGAGCTTTATTCTGTAATACTGCTCTACTAATCTTTTTTATAAATCCTAATTGCTTTGCAGATTATTCTTTTGAGTTTTATACATAGACAGTGATGCCATCTACAAACAATATTAGTTTTTCTTCTTTTTCAGTATTTGTATTGCATTTGTACAAATATTTGTATTTATTAATTTGCTTTCTTTCCCAACTGCATTGGCAAATTTTCTAGAATAATGTTAATTAGTAATAGACTAGTAGGCATACTTTACTTGTTCTTAATTATAATAGGAACACATCTACTGTTTTACTGTTAAAGTGGCTTTTTTGTAGACCACGTGTAGTTGATTCTTTTAAAAATATTTTTATTTTCCCATCTAATCACTGTCTTTTAATTGATATGTGGGTCATTTACGGTTAATGTAACTATTAATGGTTGCATTTAAGTCTACTTTATTTTACTTTATTTTTCTTTTTTTGCTCATCTCCTCTGCTTTTGTTCCCTTATTTCCTTTTCCTATCTTCTTTTTCTTTTCTTTTTTTAGTAGCACACTTAATTTATTGGCTTGTTTTCTATATCTCTTTGTATTTTTTTTAGTGCTTGCTTTAGAGACTATGATATATATCATATATATATATAGCTAAGTTAGTATCTTTCCAATTCAAGCAAAATGCAGAAGCAAAACTTGGAGCTATAGAGTGTTTTGGACAAAAAGTGAAATTAATCTAGTTGTATTTTAACAAGATAACTTTGTTGCTCTGTTGAGAATAAACTCTAGGGGTACAAAGGCTAAAGTAGGAAGACTATTGCAAGTATAAGGAGTTTCCTTCTATTACTATTTTGCTGAGGGTTTTTATCAAGAAAAAGTGTTAATTTTGTCAAATGTTTTTTCTGCTTCTACTAGAGTAATTATTGAAGTAATCATTTTATCCTGTTAATGTGGTGATTTATTTTTCAATGCTAAATCAACTTTTCATTCCTGGAATATGCCCCATTTGGTCATGAGGGGCATAACATTATCCTTGTTATGGCTTTGTTAATTTAACATTTGCTAAGTGGAATATAGGTGCTGGTTGGTGAGCTATGGTTCTACAAAAGACCAAAAGAGAAATTGAAATAGAGGGTTACTACTCATAGGTCCTGAAGCAAGTATACAGTATGTCTCAAGGTGTCACAAAGGGAGATCAAGACAGGGTGTAGGCAGAGAATGAGACAGGATCTGGGGCACATGCGTTTATTATAGTCCATTGGTGGGGGAGTGTTGGGGAGTTCCCAGGCTAAGGCTGGATTGCTCAATTGAAACCAAAAAGAATGGGGTTTTGATAGGCTCTATGAAGGTCTTATCTAAGGGGCATGCAAGGAAGACCCTCACAGGCTGAGGAGAATATTAATTGCAAGGACTGTTGGAAAACTCAAATGAGGAACTTATATTTGTTTGCGGGGTATTATCTGGGGCATGTGCTTGCAATGAGAGGACTAGTGTCTGTTTAAGTAAACAAAATGGATGCTGAGGCAGCAATACCATGAAGTAATTTAGCTAACTCTCGACAATTTTTTTTATATATTCAGATTTGATATGTTATAATTTGTTAAAGAATTCTGAGAGTGTTCATGAGAGATATGGGTTTATAATTTTGGCTTTGCAAGATTCTTGTCTAGTTTTGGTATTAAGATTATTTTAGTCTCATACAATGAATTAAGCAAATTTTAAAATGTGTGTCTTCTAGGGTTCCAACTGAATGCTTGGGTATTCAGCCAAGTGTCTTCTCTGGGCTTCTCAAAACACAAAACATCTCCTAGTATTGTGAGAGCTTTGGTATCTGCATTGGTCTCATGGCCCTTGAAGAGTTGTTTCCTATAAGACCTCTTGAAATCTTGCTCTGTGCATGCATAACATAGTATTTATCCAGAGACTAAAGGGGAATCTCCATGCAGATATATGGAGCTATTATTTTAAACAGCTGCGGTACCTTTCTTCACAAATTTCACTTTGATTTCTCTACTCAGCAAGGTTTCTGCTCTCTATTTGTGATCCACTGTCTGTTGCTGCTACTTGTAAAATGCTTCCAGGCAGAAAGCATTGTTTTTCCTCTCAAGAATAACACCTGTATTGTTTTTGGCCAATGCCTAAAGCAGATCCTTCATTTATTTTTGCTCAATTTTTTTTATGGAGGTATAATTGACATATTAGTTTCAGGTTTACAATATAATTATTTAATTTATATATTGTGTAATTATTTTTGTTCAATTTTTGGGTTATTGTGGGAGGATGGATCTGATACCACTTACTTCATTATAGCAAAAATTCTATATCTAGACCTGTCAAATTTGAGATTTCTATTAGGTAGTCAGATAGCAAAGTATGGTAGACTAAAATGCATGAATTTGGAATTCATGGATAAGGTCCTTGAATGGATAAGGTCCATAGAGGTCCTTTCCTCCAAGTTTCTCCTGCTTTTTGGTTTGCTTATGTTTTTCTCTTTAGGGTAATAGGCTTTCCTTAATTGTCTGTTGATCTTGGTGATTCCATCATATTTAAGAGCTAAGAGGCTCTGTTTCTGTGTGTCCATAGGTTTTAAATGATATGCTTCATGGTTGGGTGATAGAAGTGGACCATTTCTTTGGAAGAAAGATGCACATACATATAAACATATATTAAACACACATGTATATATTTTTTTCAGTGAGTCAGTTTCTCCAAAGCACAGTTCTTTAATCCATTGCCTGAGAGTTGTAAAAGCCTGACTACCACTATCCTGGGAAGCAAATTAAAAGTGGGGGCTCCTAATATAAAATATCACCATTTGGTAATTTCTCTCCAATATTAACCCTCTTTTTTTTTTTTTTTTTTTAGTATGAACCTTACCCCAATTCTCAATGAGCCATATGTCCCTAAGTCCAGGATCAAATCCAGGATTTGGTTTAGTGTGCAAGAGAAGAAAGCCTTCAACAACTTGCCAAGGGGAAGAGTAGTCACCCAGCTGGTAGCATGAGCTGGTGGTCCAGGAATCCTGCTGCTGCTTCTTTGGACTTTTCAGTTAGTTTGCCCATATTTAAGTCTCCCATCACTATCTTTCTGGGATACCTGAGGATCCCAATTATTGAGGCTGTTTTGGATTCTGCACCCTGAATCAGTTTGGTTCTGGACTTCCTTTGTGTCCAATTTGCTTGCAGCTTTCTCTGGGCTGCTAGTCAGTTCTACTTGTGCATA